TCTTAGGCAGGGAACAATAAAATTGAAACAGTACACGAAAAAAACATAAGAATACAGATGGGTAAGTCAAGAACTTACGTAGATGGTGAGTGACATTACTGTATGAAATGCAGTACAGTAATATGTGCAAACAGAACCCCAGAATGGCTGAATTTGGCTCCAGGCTGTCCCGGCCAGTTCACTGTGGTCAGCAATGACATCTCATGAGAATGCTTTGTAACATGCATGGAGTCAAGGAAAATTGTTAAGGAAGCTATAAAAAGGTTTCCTTAGGCAGGGAACAATAAAATTGAAACAGTACACGAAAAAAACATAAGAATACAGATGGGTAAGTCAAGAACTTACGTAGATGGTGACTGACATTACTGTATGAAATGCAGTACAGTAATATGTGCAAACAGAACCCCAGAATGGCTGAGTTTGGAAGGGACCTCTGGAGGTCACCAGGTGCAACTCCCCTGCTCAGATCAGGTCAGCTACAGCAGGTTGCTTGGGGCCTTGGCACTAAGAGCTTCTCTGAGCTAGGCGATAGTCTAAGCTGCTCTTGCTTGTGAGGATGAAGAAATTAGCATGCTGTGTTATTCCCTTTTGGGCGCTCAGAGCCCATCAGCTATGATTTCACCGCACAAACACAGAGCAGGAGAGCCTGTGCCTCAGGTTGCTGTCTGTATAGAAGAGACCATGGGTGTGCGCATGCGGACCGGAGAGTACAAGTAGGCAGGATAACTTTGTGATGCACCACATGACAATAAAGGGAGAGAAAACTAATCGACCACTCTCATTTAGCTTGGAATTATCAGTGGCTGATTACAGATTACTTTTTTTGCAGCTCCCCCTCCACTGCTGACCCCTCCTAGCCACACCTACCAAGCACTCCTGTACTTTTTGCAGGACAGCGTTCTTTTTGTGAAGGCTTGGATTCAAAAGGTCCATCTCAGTCTTCCCCAGGCTTTCAATGAAAGGAACACACAAAGGGCCTGAGACATACTCCAGGTATTCAATCCTGCAGAAAGAATTCAAATGGTCTCAGAATGTAAACCTGACCTTCATATACCCATAAGCACACCCATAAAATCTGTGATGACGTAAAAATTTAGAGACAAGGCTGGACTTGAAAAATTATAAACCAGCCAGGCCAGAAATGTTGCAATCACTCCACACCTTACTTTAACTTACATCTTGTCTTCCAGTTCATCAGCACGTCAACCTCACTTCAAAAAATGACTAAGGGTTATAAATAGCTGCAAGTGGATGAAAGTGCTCTGAGATGCTTTAACACCATATGAAACAAGACTGCCTACAGTTCAGAAACTTTTCCCCTTTCTCTTTTTTGTCAGGAATAATTCTCTGATGAATGAAGATGTGGTGGGTGGCTTAAGGACAGTAAGTAGTTTTAGAGTAGGCTTCCTTTTTATCAAAGTCTAAGAAGGCCTGCCAAATTAAACAAAATGATGCTGTTCTCCACCCAGAGTGGCAGGCAGCCTTTGCAAATAAAGCCACATCCCAAAGCTGCTCAAGCCCAGCCTTACCAGGGTTTGTAGACAAGAGCACCAGCAACTTCTGATGGCCCTGAACAAGCAACATGCAATTGTTGGCCAAATAACTTGGTGCTGCAGTTTGTAGAAAGCCTTGTATTAAAGTCTTTCTATAATTATTCTTTTATTGTTTTTAAATAGTAATGCCTTTTCAAACAGAATCCTTTTCTTTTCTTACTTTTTTTTCAATTAAAAATATTCCAGGAAAAGAATAGTTCTCATTCCCTTTTATGCCTTTAAGCACGTAGGAAGAAAGAAATAAAGAAAAAGGGGGATTAACAAGTTGTACAATTCAGGAGGTTCCTATCCAGGTACAATTATTACTTTCTTTTCTAAGGAAAAAAGCTGTCACTGAATATTACTTGGCTATTTACATAATGCAACATTTTGCTAACTTACTTACAAAAATGTCTTTAAACACACTGAAATGTTTTTAACCATACAGAGCAATACGCTTGGGCAGTACCCAATGGCTTTGTCTTACATATCCACTCTCGGAAAAAAACCCTAAACAAATAAGCAAACCAAGTTTCACAACCTAGGGGGAAAAAAAAAAAAGAAAAAAAAATATCCAGCATAAACTACATTTAAGTTAGTTTTGTGACTCTAAACAATTATGCTCAAGAAAGCCCAACGAATTAATCCCTTTATTTTAGCAGACATCAGCAACAGTATAAGCAGCAACATTACAAGCTTTTTCATTGCTGCCACACCACTGCACGGTGATTCAGCCTGCGCACTGAGCGCTTCAAGGGGGACTGATTTCAAGGATGCAAAGGAATCCATAATTGTGACAAAAATGGGCTATACTAGAAGACATCGGGTATTATCAACTTTCACTTGACACAGAGTTTGGCTACAGTCAGTGACCACTTTTTATAAATTACCATTTGTTTGAATCATCAGTTTTCTTAGGAGTGAAGAGGTTATTAAAAAAGTGCTTAGAAGGACTACTCTGAATGTACTGCTACGAATGCAGTAACTTAAGATGTCATAAGATGTAACTTACGGAAGCACCGATAAGAGGAAGGGAGGAATAGATGCATTGGAGACTTTCCAAAACTTCCAAGCCAAACAATTAACCTAAAAGCAACAAAAATTTAAGATCTTAAACATTTGGAAATTTTGAGGAATAATGAAAATATGATTTGTTTATTACAGCTTATAAATTAGCATATATAAAACTGTGCATATTATCTTCAGGGAGCATTTTTCTTTGGATTTTTTAAAGTAGTTAAGAATTTTCTTTTTGTAGACATCAGAGATGAAATATCCTATATTCGGGTGCATGAGAGCATTTGTATGTTTTCAAAACGTATATATATTTCCAAACAGATTACTCCAGAATTAGCAAGTTAGAAGAACTGTAGAAATTTCTTGCAATTTTTAAGTGACAAATGAAATTGTCAAAATGAAGTATGATAACAGACGAATTCACACATAAAAGATTTAAATGACATGTTAACAGACAAGTTCACACACAAAAGATTCTGAAAAACACGAAAATAGAATTAACCAAATTCTAATTTACCTACAGTGTGGATATTGGGTAGTATGTTTATGCACACAAAGTCTTTTTTTTGTTTTACCTGATAGGGAGAAAGCAGATGAAGATTCTTTTCAAAGAATTTAAAAGTGTTTAAAAAAAAGTCCGTTCCCATACTTTCAATGAGTTGACAAGTTACTCCTTTCACAAGCTGTCCTGTGCTGATAGGAAAAGCAAAGTTCAATCTGTTGAATATTTAAGCAGGATCTAGTCCTTACTCCCCACAACCATGTCCTAAGATACAGTTTCTTGACCACCTCTCTTTCCCCTTTCTTGTAATTGAAAGGCTATTGAAAGTAAAAATGTAATCAAATTGAAAAATATTGACTGAGCCTTAAAATACCAAAACCTCTGCAATGCTTCGATCCAGATTTTAGATTTGGAGACCCTTTTTAATGAGGAAGGTGAATTATCAAGGAATGAATAAACATAAGACAGTACAAAATAACCACACAGCGTTTACATTTACCTCAAAGTCGCTCTCATCACACAACTACACTATAACTCCATTTCAAGAGAGACTATCATCCATACCTTAGCAGGTCAACAGGATAGTTTTTCTTAGACAGTAATTCATACAGACACAAAGCCTGAAATAAAACCCACCATATTTAAAGTTAAACTTAGGTAATTCAGTTGTAAGAGGCAATACTTGCAACTACTGCAAGGTTCTTGTATGCTTAACTCTCTTACGTACTCTAAAGGCATTTCTATGGTCCAGTTTGGCCAACCAAAAGGTTTGGCAACCAGTGCTGAATTTCTTCTTCACAAGACAAGACATCACTGACCGGCACTATGGGATGATGTTAAACATGTTCATGGCACACAACCACAGAATAATTTAGGTTTGAAGGGACCTCTGGACATCGTCTGGTCCAACCTTGCATCTCTCTGGACAGAGCCAAAGGGCTGACTGTACATGCAAATGTCTAGTATACAGTACTGGAAAGAGAAAATTTATGTGGCAGAATCTTGAAGACTTTTAAACCCAACATATCAATGCTTCCCTTTCTGTAACATTGTCTCATAATGCTGCCTAGGCTCTAAGTGACCTCTGGTTGTTTATGTCAAGATATATTTGGGGCAGTTCCTTCCTTTTACCTATGTTCCTTGAACACATATGTATTACAACACTTTTCCTATTCCCCCATCATACTAAATTGCAGTGGAATGGGAACTGCACAATAATTTTTACCTGGCTTCTTCTTAGTTCTTTTTCTTTCATCATTGAAGAATTTTCTCCGATATTTCTTTAAAGAAAGCTCCTTGTATATCTTTGACTGATGAAGAAAAATCTCCAGATGCAGCTATCTAAAAAAAGGAACAGATAAATACATGGCATTTCAGAACTGATGCTTAGATTTACAGGATTTGCCCTTCTTTCTATTCTCTGTAATATTTCTCTTAAGAGGATAAAGGAAAAACATGTCAGTATTAAAAATGCCACAGCACTAAGCAAGAGACAGCCTTCAAAATATACTTGGTGTTCAGAAAAAAACACTGGAAATATTAACCATTGAGCTAAAACACGTATCTAGGTGACAACATTTTAAATCATGCTCTGCATATCTGGTTATTGTGCTCTTGTACAGAAAGAACCTGCTACACACGCAAGTTTATAATCACCTTCCTGAGGATCCCTTGCTGTTGTGCAGGCGATAAGTCAGATAAGTACTGGGGTGTTGTGCCTTGAATAATCTGAGAAAGGTCCTTTGGGTTCATGCTGTAGAATGACTGGGTGCTAATACCAGTTACCAGCGCGCCCATTTGACTAACAGTATAAAATGATAAAACCTGCAGAGGTAACAGCAGAAACAAACAGAAAGTTTTCTGGCTTGTGAACAGCAGATATATTTAAAAGCAAAAGTTAATAAATCAATCAAAAATATTATTGTTGAATGCTTAATAAATTTCTTGCTAGAGGATGCACTTTCATCAGATTTCATTCAGTTCAGACAAGACTGTTGAGGGAACAAATGCAACAATTTTCTCAGAGGCTCCTTTTTTTGAAACTTCAGAGAGGATCCCGATTCCTTCCATTACAGTATATTTGAATATATAGTCTGGGATCTCTGATCATGCAAATTCTGCCTAGGGCAGTGATACAGACAAAATAATATCTACAACTCCAAATGCAAATAGTCATTCTCTCTGTTACTAGAGAATTACTTTGGGAGGTACAGTCTTGGATGTTTTTATTTGATTTAAACAAAATTTTCAGACCACTAACAGTACTAAAAAGAAGTCTTGTACTAAACTTTTCAAAATCTACGGTTATCGTTGAGAAAAAGCCATTTCACTTTTAAAAATAGAAGGTAGGAAATCTGTTACAGAGATACCTTTGATTCTCTCTGTTACTAGAGAATTACTTTGGGAGGTACAGTCTTGGATGTTTTTATTTGATTTAAACAAAATTTTCAGACCACTAACAGTACTAAAAAGAAGTCTTGTACTAAACTTTTCAAAATCTACGGTTATCGTTGAGAAAAAGCCATTTCACTTTTAAAAATAGAAGGTAGGAAATCTGTTACAGAGATACCTTTTCATAAGAGAGGTATTTACTGGATAAAATCATAACTTGGCTTTTTGCCCACCCAGAGACTTGGTTTAATGTTGCAATAGCATTATGCACCGCGTCAGGTGACAAAGATTCCAGCTGACTTGAAGTTAGCCCAACCACGGCATCTGACAGAGATCCAAGGATATCATTCAGTGTCTGGTTTTGCATGGCAATGTTCAGGAGTTGAGATTTCAGCTAATGTAAACAAAAAAAGCAGATGGGAAATAAAAATCTGCCAAGAACCAATTTTCATTATCACCCAAAACTTTAACTGGAGTTTCTGGAATAGGCATTGGCAACCATTTAGTGACCACACATTTCATAAAAATTCAGAAATAGAACCACAGTTGTCAAAGGAGTATGGAATGGGAGGAAACAGAATGAGAAAAGAATGAGCGCTGTAAAAAACCAAAAATGGGCTTTTATTCTTTGCATTGTATGATCGAGAACTATTTCCACTTATTTCTTAGATCCCAGTCATTTTTCACTCTTTCCTTTCCAAAGTCAAGAAGAAAGTCGCTTCTCTTCTGTTTCCAGGATTAGGTTAGGCAAGAATAACGAACATTGTACCCACCTTCTGAACCTCAGCCTGGAAACCTCTCAATTGATTGCATTTAATCATTTGATGAAGCAAAGCCCGGGCCACAGCAGCATCCATCTGTTCCATGTCATCATAAAAGCAAACCAATAAACCTAGCCTATATAGAAGAAAATACATTAGCTAACTTCTGACATAAAAGGTGTCATTTTTAGGAAACTGAAATATGGTATGGTATACCCTACTTGTGCTCAAAACTTGAGTCACTTCTGTCTGTCACCAGTGCCTTAAACTGCAATCTTTAAAACTCCACATGGCCTGAAATTTGGGTATGAGACATATGCACTGTTCTCTGTATTCAGCTGAACTCTACCCAGATTGCTTGTGCTGTCAAAAATTTAAACTTTCCTGGTTCCATTTGTCCATGGCTGGATTTTCCCAGCTAACCTTGGATTTCACATGCAACATAACTCATTCATGTGTCAGAGCAGCAGCTAGAGCATTACATAGCCTCTTTATCATTTCGGGTTTAAACAAAGCCTGCTGTATTTCGCATCAAACGTATGACTGGCCGATGGATGGAGACCTGACAATTCGACACTGGCTAGGAGAAAACGCGCTGAGGCTCACTGTCTTAGTTGTGCCAGCACAGCAGTTTGCAAGGCAGTGTTGTGAACCAGATGTGGAGCTCATTTGGCTCCACAGTACCCATGCTGTAATATTAAAGTCAGCGTTTCCATTAACCTCTGTAAAGCACAACCACAACCATAGTTGGTGGAGAGAAGTAGTCATACCACCAAGGGTAAGCACCTGCTGTAGGTGGCCTTCCGACTTAGGCCTTGTGCTTATTTACTGCCATTACCTGCAGCCCTGCAAAGGAGGTCTGAATTGTGCATCGCTTTCTCTGGACTTTAAACTTCATAGTGATGGTGATGAATTCGTTCGTAGGAAGCCTGAATCGATCCCCTGTCACTGTAAACAACTAGCCTTTGCTTTCATAATTTACACAGGACAAGAACCTACAAAGTCCAGCTTTCCTGCTACCATCTCTGTTTTTTGGCAATTCAATGATGCAGGCATAGGCAGAGCCTAGGCAATAATGTCCAGATGTGAACTAAATCAACAGCAGACAATGCTGCAGCACTATCACAAACTCAGTAAAATTCTGCAGTGCAGAAAGGCTTAGCTTTTAGTTCCTTTAGTTCCTCAGCAACAACCTGCTTAGCAATATAACAAAATACTGCTTCAGCAGCTTGTCTGAATTCATGGGACATCATCAACCTAACATACAAACGAAAGAAACATCTATAACTGCATTTTTATAGCAAATAATTACCTTCTGATGCATTATTGCATAGCCACCAAGAGCTCTTCATCTCCTTTGGGATTAGCAGCAATGAATAGTACTACTTCTTAAAAGTGCATTTAAATCATCAGTATGGTTAAAATGAGTAATATAAAATATGTTGTAAAAATGGAATATATTAAGGATTATGGAGCATGACATTTCTCTCATCTGTGAGAATGTGGCACCTCTCATGAGTGGTAAAATAATTTTTAAGATTTCTGACATTGAAACTTAGAGTGTGGGCATAATTCTTCTCTCGCTTACATCTCCAACAATCAGCAATACTTCACGGAAGTCAGTGAGTTACATTGCAGTAATGACAGGAGCTCTGAAGCCATAATGCATATTCTCCGTTAGTTTAAAACTCCAAGGTATCCCCCAAGGAGACTACAAATAACTTCAGACAGTGGTGTCTTGGGACTAAATACATCCATTTATGCGACAGTGTAAATGTAAATGTGGAGTACAGTACTTTCTCGCAGGTAGCTCATGCTCACTGCATATTTATGAGTAAGAGCAGTTTATTTTGGTTTTTATTATTGTTAAAGTAAGTTCAGTGCTGATTTGACAGCCCTGAAAATGCAGTTTCCTGCTTACACACAACAGTCACATGCATTTAAACATGGCTCATCTCTACCCTGCAGGACGTAAAGAGGACAGCAGGACGGGCTTCACACCTCTTCACTGTGTGACCTTTCTGGTGACACCCATGCCAATTAACCACCTGCAGTCCCGGCTGGCATGAGCTAAGATTTCCTCCTTAAATCCTAACTGTAACATGATTTCCACAAAACACCGCCATCTGTGATTCAAACAGCCAAGGCAACTCATGTCCCACCATCCCGATTTATTTTATTGCTGTACTGTACCATGTGATGGAGCTTTGATTGGGTCCCCCAGATACTGCTGTAGTCCTACTAATACTACAGACAACTCCTCACTGCATTAGCAAATTAGGCACACCTCCAAAAATTCATAAATTAGCAATTCTTCACTGTTGCTAATCAGGGTTGGATTTCACCCTAGATTTTTCTGCTGGAAGGAAAAAGCTATGCCACATCAACAATTTCATCAGCTACTTATTGCTCCTCTCTTTTCTTCTTACTTATTCGTTCTCTCCATACACAGCCATAAAAGAAAAAGAAAACAAGTCTTGCCTGTAGATTGTTGAAGTGTTTCTCATATCAAATCCTGATGAGTTGATTCTTTCCAGGAAAGCTTGCGCAAGCTCTGGTGTGATACCATACACTGTGTCCAACTGCTTTGTTGCATTGTCATAGCTAATGAATAGTCTTATCTGACCAGTACAAACAAAATCACGCATCAGGAGTATGAAACAATTACATCCAATAAAATATGTTTGACACTCTAAATTAATTGACTCCACTCATGTTACAGAGAAAGGAAGAAGATAGATTTGGATAATACCGTATTTTTTGAGGGCAAAGCCAAGTGAGCGATCCTCTGTCAAACTATCAAATAATTTGAGGGTCTTCTATCATTGGTCCCTATCTTTCTTACAGTACAAGCCACAGAAGTCTGATACAGATAATTAATTACATATTTATGATAAACACTTTCAAATTCCAAAGAGAGAAGAATATTTGGTTGACAATGGATTTGGATTCACTTTATATTTAAGTAATTAAAATATATAAACTTCTTTTTCATGTTTAAATTTGCATTTGTGTTCATATTGTTTGTAGCTGACATCACTTGACAATGATATATTCAACCACATTTTGTTACTTACTTCACTGAGACTAATTTTCAGAATTTCTTCTAAAGGGAGATGGACCATGTATCTTCCCAAAATCCATAAGTTTTCTGCACTGACCCAAGAAGTTGATTCATTGAACTCTGTTTTGTATAAATAAATACTCACTACAATGTTAAGAAAGTAGTTATTTTTCAAATATATTGTACCCAGTATATTGTTATTGGTAAATAAATCAAAAAAATACCTGCAAATCAGAAAAATCCTTAGCAGAGAGAGTCAGGTTCCCTCCATTAGCTAGATTTTAGCACCACATTTTTATGAGCCCATACATTTTTTAATGAAAATGAAATAGTAATTCAAATGTCTCAAATTTTCTCATATGAAAATGATTAATGTTTTATGTTGTTGAAATAGAAAATGGATAAAGTATGGGACAGAAAAAATTAAACCGATAGTATTAAATATGGAGCAGCACTTTTTAAATGCAGTTTTCCTAATCAAATATATTTTTTAAGAACACCAGGAAGGCATGATACTT